CTCTCTGGTCAAATTAAAATAAATAAATAAAATAAATAAAGTTAAATAAAATAATTCTTTAAGAAAAAAAAAAAGGACAGGGCCAGCAGGTGGCATGGTGATTAAGAATGCTAGACTCCCACATGGCCGACCATGGTTCAAGTCCCGGACCTGGTGGCTTGCTTTCTCACTTTCTCTCTCTCTCTCTCACTCTGCCCCTGTCTGATGAAGTTAAAATAAATAAATAAACTAAATAACGTTAAATAAAATAATTTTTTTAAAAAGGTCACCTTTAGCTTGGAGACAATTTAGAATGTAGAAGTAATTGCCACCTGATGTCCAACATCAGAAATGCATCTTTAGGGACCAGCAGATGGCGTAATGGTTACGTCGTTGGACTCCTACATTTCTGATTCCACATGTTCAAGTCCTGGGCCCAGCATCTTGAAACTCATGCTGAGCACATGTGCATACATGCCGGCCCAAAATCCCAAGAAGAGCATGATAGAGAAAGGATTGTGGGATGGCCATGCTCCCAGGGGGTGATTTCTCATTTTCTGTCCCTCTGTCTTTGTCTCTCCAGCAAGCACACGTGCTGTATAGCAAAAATCTCTCTAAAAATAAATAAATAAATAAATACATAAAACTGGCCCAGAGGTTTGGACTAAATGTCCTCCCAAAATTCATATGTTAAAGTCTAATCCCTAAGGGCCAGCAGGTGGTTTGGGGGTTAAGGCACTGGACTTCTACATGGCCAACTGCAGATCAACTCTTGGGCCTGGTGGTTTGATTTCTCCTTTTCCCTTTCTCTCTGGTGAAATTAGAAACTACTAATAAGAACAAATAAAATTAAATAAATAATCGTTCAAATAAATCCATAAGGTCTAATTCCCAACGTGATGATATTGGGAGTTGAGGCTTTTTGACGGCCCTGAGGATGAGGCCTCCATGAATGGAATTAGTGCCCTTATAAAAAGAGACAAATGAGAGCCCACTTCCTTGCTTTCTGCTCTCTACCATATAAGGACACTGGAAGATGGCCACTTGCAAGCCAAGAAGTGGGCCTTTATCAGAGATCGAATCTGCTAGTGCTTTGATCTTGGACGTGCCAGCCTCTAGAAATGAGAAAATAAATGTTTAAGACACCCAAACTACAGTATTTTTGTTATACCAACCCAAACTGGTTAAGACATTATGAAAACAGACAGGTAGATTAAAAAAAAAATAGAAAAAAAGAAAAAGATTTCTTTACTGGAAGTCAGTAGACCTCTACTTCTAGTTCAACCACTGTTTTATTTAGTGACTTGGGCAAACTTTTTTCTGTGTCTGTTTCTCAATTCATAAAATGAGACTCTTGGACTGAAATGTTTCTGAAGTTATCCCTCAGAAACTGGTTGTTCTAGTTGTTACAATTGTGACAATACATGTCCTGTGAAGATTTAGGACTTGAGATTAAAAACCTTACCCTATTACTCCAAAATTAGGCAAGGGCACAGAAAATATAGCTATAAAATCCACTGTTCTGGAACCGGCAGATGGCATAATGTTATGTCGCTGGACAATCATGTAGTTGACTGCAGTTCGAGAAGCAGACCCAGCATCTTAGAACTCATGCTGGGGGCGTGTGTGCGTGCCCAAAATGCAGAGGGGAGGAGAATGGAGTGGGAGGGATTATGGCATGGTCATACACCCTGGGAGGTTATTTCTCTCTCTCTCTCTCTCTCTCTCTCTCTTTCTTTCTCTCTCTCTGTCTCTCCAGCGAGTGCACATGCTCTATAGCAAAAATCTTTCTCAAAAAAAAAAAATATATATATATATATTCATTGTTCTATGAGCCTACTTTTGGCCTCTCACCATTTATTTATTTATTTATTTATTTATTTATTTATTTATTTATTTATGCTAGAGAGTATGTACCTTTGCCAGAACAAGTCAGAGAGAGAGGTAGAGGAGAAAGCACCCCCTCGAATGAGGAATGGTCACACTGCAACCTCTTCCCTTTCATCTCTCCCTCCTTTTGGGATTTTGGGCACACATGGCCATGTACCCAGCATGTCTCTCAATGTTCCAGATCCAGGACTTGAACTACACAGTTGGCCATGTGGGATTTGGCTCCCTTAACCACCAGGCCATGGAACCAGCATTTATTTTATTTTCAGCGCTTTCTAATGACTGCACATTAATACTCAATCAGTACAAAGGTAATTATGAACAAATATGCTAACCATTTTCTAGTAATAGTTACTTAGAAATCCTACAAATAGGAAAAATATGAATGAAACAAGGCTGTGAAAACACCATTTTAGGTCCTAGCCAAAAAT